GCCTGGTCATTTACTTCTAGCACAAATGTGCATATTCAGTGAATGAAACTAATTTTTTTCACTGCTGCAGATCCACGAATCTCCATTACTTCTAGCATTTGCTGATAAGCTATGATGTTTTATTACTTCATGATGCTCACAGAATTGAAACTCTAAGTGGTAACAGATACGAGTATAGGAGAGGGAATTAATTGTCCTTATGCATAAAATTCATTTTTTTTCTGTAAAACATGGGCTCTGCACTGCTGGCAAAGTTCATTATTTCTAAGATATGTTTAATTTCTGTCATATGAGTGACAGAATCAGTTTTTGGAAAGTTTTCCAGGAATGACAGGTAAGACCACTTCTTTACTCATCAGTAGTTATTTAGATGATCCTAATTATTGTCTTCCTTAACTTTCCACAATACTACCGTAATGCATTAAATGATTGCTTGACTGGCCTTCACCAGTACTTCAAACAGGAGTCTCCTGATATAATAGTCTATCATAAACTTTTTTAATTTCACTTAATTTATTGCGCACATTAAGTCGATGTAATTTACGAAATGTGATTTAGCAGTGAATATTTTTTTCTAGGAAGTAAAACACTCCAGAGTAATATTATGTCTTTTTTATTATGTGGTATCAGATGTCTTGTCTCAAACTAGCTTGAAATTATAACAAGGTTTCTCTCTTGCCACATTTATAAATATTTAGATTTATTTATGCTAAAATGAAGACATTTTGTGACTGAATAATGCATTAGAAATGGTTATTTTATTGTAAATTGATCCAAAAATGACTTCGCATTGAAGGTTTAATGTTTTCATCCCCGACAGTGATCGTGGCTTTAATTATGATTTAAAAATTATCTTCACTGACTGTCATCGAGAAGTGTTACTTTGTATTAGATTATTTAAATAAATTGTTTTCTAAGTGCCTGTAATTCACCTAAAGAGTTCCCTATTAAGTCAAAATTGATAACATTCCAGTTTATTGCGTTATTTCTCATCAGAAAGTTCTGCCTCATTGGTTCTTAAATGGAAAATGACTTCCTATAATTATGAAGAAGGAAAGCACCAATAGTTCTACCGTTTCTACTTATAATTTCTTTTTTGAAAACAATCACTTAACGGTATATAATAAGGGTAGAAAACATTAAGCACATAACATATTGATGGTGCTTAATGTAATATAAGTGCAAAATAGGCACAAAATGGTGGAAAGAAGTGTACAAATTTGCGTAGATATGTTGGAACTTAATGTCAATTGCAGAGATCACAACTTTTTATATTCAAGTTTTTTCATTGATTATCCGATATCAGATTCTATTATTAACATGAACTAAATGCTCTAAATATCGTAAAGAAGTAATTCATCATCTGAAAACATCCTTAATCTATCTGAAACGAAACGATGGTGATAAAGGTTTCTTTCAATTGAACATTTAAAATTTATCATGGTCAGAATACCGTTATTTTGTCTGCATACCTGTGATGAGTTATTTTTCCAAAAGTTCACTATTCACCTAAGTATACAAATAAAATCAAAATGGCTATAACACACTCGAAAAGGTAATTTTTCATGTTGCATTCTACTCTCTGTCATTTGAGCATCTCCAAATTATGCTTAAGCTTAGTTTTTTCTCTAACTACACATTAATGAATACCTTGACAATAACTGCACTATAAAACATGTGAACAGTGTAAATTATTTGCCATAAGTGCACGATGTTTGAATCCTAGATTATCTGTGACAGGTAAATCACTAATCACATATTAATTTCTGTTCTGTTCAATAGATTAGGTACAAAAAAGTGAAAAGGTATGCATACATACTGGATTTTTTCAATCTATCACACTCACAAATACGGGAAGCTTCCATTTTTACTGCCATTATTTTAATTGACACCACAAGTCACACATCATTTCAGTAAAACAAATATTCTTCTTCTTTGTCATGCTAATTGGAAAAAAAACATGCTGTAGAGTTAGACGCACAATACATCAAGTGTCTTATAGTTTATCTTTTGGTACATAAGAACATAGTTTGTAAACTTACTGGCTTATTTCATGAACCGGAACCTTTAATCTCTAAGAATTTCAATATAAATGAATTCTGAAGAATTCAGTTAATGAGAGACATAATTATTCCATACCTGTAAACCCTTTAATAATCTATTCACAAGTTTACATTTCGAAAATGCTTGAAATGACAGAAATGTCTGTCAGACAATCTAATTATATTATCTCGGTTAGCTGAAATGGTGATGGAGAAATTTGTGAAGAAACATCGATTAGAAATGTTATACTCTGACGCTCGATTTTTGTGACAGCTGTTGCCCAGTATTATTGTAGACTAACTTTCTATGTACTTTCCTGTAATGAAATTTAAATCTCAAGAATTAGTACTCTTATTTATATACAAAGTGTATTAGATTATTGAACATAAATGATTACAGGAAATACTGGTTTTTTCTAGATACACTAGAAGTTGTTGTACTTTTAGTTGTGTTTTTGTTTTATTGTAATTTAACGGAAACGTTGTTCATATAAGGAAAATTGGCAAATGAACACTTGAATGTGTATGTATTTCTTCAAAAGGAAAACAAAATTACTTACTTCTTTCTGTTCTTTTTTATGAAAACTGAAGAGTGTGAAGTACTACTTCAGTTACTTTTTTAGCTTCATACTTTTAAATTATATCTTTCTTATACGCCTAATAGAATGTAAATTTATTTTCCTCTTATTTTGGAAATAAAACTCACTCATTCATCAGCAGGGCCAACAGGAAGCCTAGAAAGTTAAAAACGTTTTCCTCAAACTGATACAATGTATGAACTGACAGCGCAACTTATAAAACATATACTTCCTAGTAAATGCATATTTAGGTGAAGATGAATAAAAACCAGGTACCTTGCATCAGATGGATTGCACATGACATTTGTAAAAGGTTGTCCTAAGATGGCATACACTTATTTTATGGTATTATTCTACCAAAAGACTTATGGTGTGATCTACTTTCTACAACAAAGTGCAAAATAACGATATTGAGAAGAGTGTGGAATATAAGTCAGAGATTGCGACAGTTTTCATCGATTGTGTGCAGACGAACTAAACTATCAGATGATTATCTACCTAAATAAAGATACTGATTCATAAAAACATACAGCAGAGAAAATATTTTAAATGAAACATACACAAATATAATTAAAGAGATGTCATTCAACAGTATTCAGCTTCAAGCATTTAGACCAATAATTAAAGAAATTAGATATCACTTAGATTTGTAGCTCAAGTGGATGATATGTTTGTAATTTTGTTCTCTAAGCCAGATAGTTTACTTGTGAAGCCTTCATCACGTTTCCGGACACTATTCGCAGTTCAGACTTTATTATGAAGTTAGCTTTAAGAATTCTACACGAGTATATCTGCTGTCTCTGCTGGTAACCTTAAATGTAACTGGTTGTTACTGGTAGTTTTCTCATCCTTCGGTTCACTTGTACTCGTATCGATTTTTTTGTAGACCTAAGAACTGGCCTTTTCTTCATGTGACTTCTTTATTATGAACTGATGAATACTATTTATATAAGTGTCTGTAGAATGAAGATTTGTCGGAGTTCCAGGATTCTATAAATGCTCTAACATTTTTCAAATCTCCTTTTTCTAGGATTTCCAAATTTTCTCAGTCAAATTAGTGTTCATAGCTGTCTGTATGCATTGATATGAAGGAACAGATACCATGTCTTTCGACAGTTACTTTGTATTTGTGAACGCGAAAACAAAGAGTGGTGATCATCTCCAACCAACATATCGTTTTCCGTAGCTGTAGACAACATCGTATTTTGACGTTGTGTTTTTTGATGATTTTGTTGGTTGGTGGCGATATCTATTCCAAAAGGTTTCGTATTAAAATCTGAGCTGAAGACGTCTAGAAAGGTGATTTAAGCTATACGATTAAATCGTCCAGGTCATGGATATGACTCTGCTCACTGAAATATAAAGCTTTTCTGAATGTATTGGTCCTATTTGGGTAACACTACCATGAATTTGAACTAGGAAGGTTGTGTAAATGTTATTTTTAGTTTACTAATCGTATGTCCAACAAATCAACGAAATTTATGCGTTTTTCTATGGGATTCACTCGACAAGTTCACACAGAGCAATATATTTTAGATCAAATTATCTTGTTTACTGTCTTAATTCATAAGCTTAGTTTTCTAAAAATAGGTTTCGCTTGAACATCTCATTCAGAAATGTAAACAATTATAGAGAGTGGATACATTACAGGTTTGATCACGAGTTGACATCAGTTAGAGAACCACTGAAAATTCAGGGAGTACTGGACAGTTGTTTCTTCCTGTTACGTTACCCTTCATCATAACGAACTCACCAGGGTACTGCTGACGCATACTGCCGAAGGAACCCGAACCAGCAAGAAACAGCAGTCCAGTACTCTCTCATTTTAAAATGATTCCCTAACTGATGTCAAATCGTGATGTAATCAGTAATCTGTCAACTCTCTGCAAACCAAAAATTAATAGTGCAAACATTAATTAGATTTCAGAAACCACATATAAAATAATCTTGGTTTTATTCTTGTTATTGTGTAGAGAGTTTATATTGAAACATATTCTCGCTTAGACACAACATTGAGCGATTGTAATTTTTATAAGTGCTTGTCGGCGTGATAATTTTGAGGTATGTAAAAATTCACGTTTAAATTCTTTCTGGAAGACTGGTTTTTTGTTTGATACATGCATGCTGGAGACAACTGCTGTTGCAACAAGCTTCACTATATCACTGCAAAACATTTCAAGTCATATATTTGTCGAAACGTCATTCCATATCTTTCGTCTATAATATGCCAACTTGTTATAGAATTAGTATTTAAGTAAAACCTTGGAAAATACTGAATGATATTGGAAACCTTACATTTCATTCTACGTCTGAATACACACATCAACATGCTTATAGTATCACTTGGTGTCACCATATTACATTTTGTCTCTCTATTTAGATATACCTGGTAAAATGGACCGTAGTGACGTTTTCCGGCAACCATCTCTACTGGTATGTCCACCGGATCCTCTGCAGCTGCACTGTCCCTCACATATGTACATCAAACCTTCAGATGCCAAAATAATTCGTAATATTCAAACAGCTCGAGTGCCGGAGTTTATTAGTCCAAGCTGTTCTTTTAAAGCAAGCCAACCCGAAAAGAAAAGGAAACACGAATCAGGCATCAGACTTCAAACAGAATGTAATCTAAAGGTGGATGTGGCTAAAGTACGTCTTCTTGACTATTTAGCTCCAATTAACTAATTATTTAATTAATTAAGTACTGTTGCATACAGGCAAAGATATATAACTTACAAGACAGTAACCCCATCATGGATAAGATATGATATGATTATGAGAAATAGTTTGTGCTCGCAACGTCATCAGTTATTATTATTGTAAAAGACTGTGATTTATCAAAATAAAATCTTATCCACAATGGAGCTGTGCTCTACCACAGTGTCCAGGTTTTTCAATTATAGCAATAATTACAAGACAGGATTTTTATAAAACGCAGTATTTTTATTTTTTTAATTTTGATTACAGCTTGATGCCATACCGTATTTTCAGTACAAGTATGGAATTTTCAGCATGGATATCGGTAGCCCAAATTTTGCAGGCCAACCATAGATATCGGGTGTGCGTCGGCAGGGGATCGAACCCCGGACCATGTGCATGGTCGGCGAGAGTCCTAACCACTGTGCCACCGACGCACACTTATCTAAAATTTCATTAGGGTTCATTATTACGGAGAAAAGCATATCTGGTCAGCTGGATCAATCTACTGTAAATATGTCAGCTATAAGCCAGTAATGAATGTCAATTGCTATCTATAGTAAAAATAAATCATGTGATAATTTGCTTAATAAAATATGTCATTTGTTGATTTTAAGTCGAATGACTGAAACAACCTTAATACAACACAGCACTGTCCAAGTTATTACTAGTTTGTAACAGCAGGTAATTTAGTACGTCTGCGTTTGTCATTATGTGCTTCAAATTTGAATATGATTGGAAATAAGTGTAGGGGCTTCCGTTGATTCATTTTGACGAAAAAGGTTGAACACACAATCCGCTTCATGAATATATCGTAGTTGAGTGGACTAGTTGTTAATTTGGTAATGTTTTCAAAGTCATAATCACAAAGACACTCATCTTCTTATATATGGACAACCTACTACCATGTAATGTCTATGGGAAGTGAAAATTTGTGGATATTAACTTGTCATTGTACTGTTGTCGGTGCAAAATAATATGGTCAAGAGTTCTGACTACATACTAACTATTAGACCTCTATGGATGAAAAATGTTGCCCTTTTGAATAACTTGTGGTCTCTCAGGCTCCAGAATATTTCAATGACAAGTGCCAGTAAACCATAAAGCTTATTATTTTGTATCGCAAGTTGTTTTAGATCTGTCTGTAATCATTGAACGGAAGGATAATCCTATTATTTCAGGTTATCCTGAGGGATTTTCCACTCAGCTAACAGATTGAGAATTCTAATTTTAAATTAGGAACAAGTCGATTAGATACATAGAAGCTTCATTATTGTTTAAAGTCATTTCTGATTTCCCTCACATATTCACCTGAATTGAATACTGGTTTAACCTCAATCTGAGTTTATATTCTTTAGGAGAGATATTTATCTCAGTGCTCCATGATTAGCTTGATAAAAATCTGGCTACTGATAATTAAAGATAGAATTAATCAGTTATATCTACTGAATAAAGTTGAGAATTTTACTTTTCTCATCTTTTGGAAAAATATTTAACCTAATTTATTAATAATTTTATCCTAGATGATGATTATTCAACGATCTCGTAATGTCACCATTATCTACATTTTCCTAACTTCAGATGATTGAACAAATATGTGAAGGTCGAAGCAGCTGTGAACTACAAATATCTCAGTTAATTCCCAATTCCTCACACTGTTTTGAGGAAAATAGTTCTGTTCTTGTTACATATCAATGTTTACCAGGTCAGTGTAGTAGGTGGATATGTACACATGTACACTGGAATATTTTTTGTTGAGTATTTATCAAATAAAATGTATTATTTTAGGAACCAAAGGAAATTGCAAAATAAGCACTTGGATTTAATTATATTTAAACACATCCGGAATCTGTACCTTTGGAAATCAGGAAATAGTTCTGTGCTTTTCAGAATTAACTGAAGTCAAATTGAACTGCTGTTACAATGGCGAATTTAAAGAAGTGTTACTGATAAACCGATTAATTTTTGATGTTGTTGTGTTATCTGAGCTACAAATGTTCTTCATTATATCTAAAACGATTGGTTCCCTACAAAGAAGAAGTTTCTCGAATGTCACCTAATCTTGATAATAAGAACCTATTTCGGAACTGTTATAATCCAAAGTGAAAAGATTTGAAATTAATTATTTTGTTTAATCAGTTATTAGTTAAAGGGCCTGAAGAATTCTCATGTGATGTTTCGTTCATTCTGAAATGTGTTTACTTGTTACAGTGATAGAGATTAGGATTGAATAGGCTTTTTATTAGTGTTCTTCAAACCATGGAACCATTTTATGTCCAAAATGTTTTCACGTTGAGAATGAGACCAAACGTATAAGGCATGGATTTGTGTAACAAATTATTTTTTTCTGTGTAAGTTTAATAGACTTTGATATCAGATTACAGTATTCCCATCAAAATCACAGATACATAAACTTTGATTTAGAGGAAAACTGACATTTGTGAGAATCTGTAGACCATATTTTATATTTCAAATGAAAAATAGACGGATTTATTTCTGATAGACAGAAAGTAATTTGGTCTCCCACTTTTGACCTTGATAATATTTTCTTTTCTTTTGTTTAGATCCTAACTCAGCATTATTTGAAGCGATTTGTGCAGATACGTATATGGAAGTTAACTGCAATACACAGCGAAATTTGAACGCACTTGTTATATTAGGAGCGGAGTTCGAAAAGGAAATAAAGTCATCCGGTAAAACTGTAACAAATGGATGTTCTAAGCTTCCAGTTGAAACACCAGGTCACTGGACACTTTTATTAATTGATTCTTTTTATGTGATATATACAATCATAACTTTTATAAGAAGTTCTGATTGCATAAGACAAAGCTAAAGTATAACACTTTAAAACGCCAAATGACTCTTCGTTTACTCTTGAATTTTTATCATATCACAGGTCAAACAGTAAGTAGTGATTATATTAATATTCTGATAATAGTCACCAAGTATTATTTATCAGATATTGTTTCAGAAGTGGTTGTGATAACATCAATACAGAATTTCAGAGGAAGTGTAGACAAATCTCAAGTAGTTGCGCATAGATTGACTACTAAGGCTGTGCATTAAGCTGATGTTTATAGCCACTCTAAAGCTGACAGTAAAAATACAAATAAGTGGGTTACTCAAATGCAGTAAAATAAATATATCCAAACGTAAGTTTTAGTGTCTGAGCAACATATCTCATTCTGTATGCTTAACTCATTATACCAAATGAAGTGAAATTCCTGAATTAATCACGTGTTCTCACTAGTCAAGATTGACTCGCAAGATTGTCATGTTAAACTGACTGTAGTTTAAGGGATCGTTCCAAGCTTCTATAATGAATACTTAACTCTAACAAATGGAGAAGAGTAGCAGATTTAAAACCAACATTCATATTACAGATATGACCAACATTTTTACATTTAGAATCTCAAAACAAAAAAACAAACACAAAGTCTCAACCTTGTTACAGTAAATTCAGTTAGTGATAATTAACAAAATGAAGATTCAACGACACAATTCTATTCGTCTAGTGTGATGAGAGCGTTTGAATGCTGTTTGGAGCAGGTATTTTACCAGTATTTATCACAATTATCCATTAACAAAGTTAACAAGTCCAACAACGCATGCTCAAATCCAAAATAAAAGGAAAAAGATGCTACCAAAATTTAGGTGTTATTTTACAATATTAAACCATCACATTTAAACAACTAAATGGACAGACTAAAATGAGTGAGTAAACAAGTTAAAAATATAATTTAACAACTAGAAATACCTACAATCTTAACAATTCTGCAAATATAATCACCCTCTGTAAATGTTAATTTCATACTAAAATAAGGTCTCTTCCTTTCAGAAATAATAAATAGACGTAAATATGACCACTTTATCATTCCAGTTTAACCTATGAATACCAAGTTTAGAAAATTGAAATTTGATTCGAACGAAGAATAATCTTGCCAACAAATTCTTTTGCAGGTCTTACAAATGTAAAAGAAGATATTTGTTATCTTTATAATAACTACCGTGTAGGCGTTGATTATATTTTAAGTTAGCATATGATCATAGATTTAAAATCAGATTACTTTCAAGTTTTGTTCACAAGATGAATTGCATATTGGTTTGTTTATTAGATGTACCACACACTGAAGCAGTATTATTTTCTGGATCCAGTAAATATTAATAAATTATCCAGTAAATAATACTGTTTCACTGTGTGATACATCTAATAAACAAACTAATATGGAATTACTCACTATCACAGTGCCCACGTTTTACACATATATTCACAAGATGAAAAATGTTTCCGAGACAAATGTGGTGATAATATAAATATAAATAATGTTTTATTAGGAATTATTAAATTAATGATGTTTAAAGCATAAGGAAGTATAGACAGTATATGACTGCGTAATTGCGATGGCTATGTGTAAGATTACAATTCTCCGACATGTACAGGTGTTGGGGTTTCTTATCAGCATAAGTTATCAAAGTGATGAAAACAAAGAAATGGAATGTGTGAGTAAAATAGCACACAAAAAGAGGATTGCCTAGAGCAAGGAAATAACCGAATCAAACAATAACGTGGTTACGAGATTTCATCATGAGCTGACATCGGTTACAGGATCACTGGAAACCTGAGAGTTCTATAAGGCTGTTTCGTCCTAGTGCTTTGGACTCCCATCCATCGAGGTTTGAACCTAGGACCTTCTGATTACAAGGCGAGTTCAATTCACTTAAACGGTTACCTGGGTTCTGGTGGAAAGCCGTGACCAGTGGGATACATCAGGTCTGTTATGAGGACAAAATGCTCGCCGATGACATTCGTTAGTGGTCGCGCTATATCGTGAATCCGTAGACATTGGAATTAATGGACCATTGGATTGGGTCCTAGTGGCTTAATGGTCAACCAGCTCGCCTTGTAACTAGAAGGTCCTAGTTTCTAACTCTAGTGGGTGTCTACTGATGAAGAGTCCCAAACAGCTATGCAGTACTCCAGAGCTGGTTTACAATGCTTCTCTAACCAATGTCAGCTCATGGTGAAATCCTGTAAAGGTTAATTCACATCCCTGCAACCCAATACTAGGATTTTCTTTTTTGATTTCGGGAATCATCAACGTGGTTTCATCAAGAAATGGACAAGAATCTTCTTCAGTAGTCAGTGTAACGATTTCCTTGTGCATTCCCAGCTGTGAAAAGAAATAATGCAAAATATTCAGTGACTAATTATACATATAACGACACCGAAAGCAATCACATGAGCTTTAAGTCTCTAAAGTATCAAAAATTAGTAGAGTAAGTTCCCGACATATCCGTCGGCCACACTTATCATCTCCATAGTATTATTTCTGCCTTTTGTTTCAATATATGTTTGTTTTCTAATGTAATACTGATTGTACTAAATCGAAATATTATGTAAAAACAAAGTATTATATCTCTGCCTAAAAAGCAGTGTCTTATCTGTTGTAGAGTTAGTGCAAAGCATAATTGCAATGTCAAAAGTGAATCCCTACTAGCACAGTAGCTGAATATATTATATTGTATATATATTATATTATCCTTCAATATTTTTTTCATTTGCGTGTCTACAAAAACAAACTTTTCGTGAAGTTTTATTACTTACTAACTTTATGCAATAACAAAATATATTTCTAGGTGAAAAATAGGATCAGTGGGAGAAACATTCTAGAGTCTTTATCATCAATATTTTTCAGTTATTAGCTTGATAAACTGACTCAGAAATTCGTTAGTTAAATGAAGCATTTAAACTATTATATATTATATATATCCGTGAACTTGATTTAGTCTCATTGTTCTATATTCTGCAACTCATTTTGGGATACGAATGTGTAATGAACATTTAAATGTTAGTATTGTTTTTCTCTGCGCTTTCTTATTTTGTACAGAAAAAGCTGACGTTACACGTGTAATGATCGTAAAAGTAATGGATTGAAGAGAGTATTTGTCTAGTATCTCTTTGGTTTTCAAATGTCGTAGGAAAAAACTTGAAAGAAACAGAATTCCTGCAAAATAACTCTTGAAGAGTGGTTTTGTTTGCCTTACCTACTATATCAGTATACTAAGTTTTAAGGCCTAATGCTGTATGAACATTATTACCGTGAATAGCTCTAATTACTATATGTATATATATATATATATAATATATGAATGACGCTCCAGATCAGCAAGAAGTTTAATACGCCAACATATACCCTTTATTCACCTATTTTTATAATTAACTTACTCATTTTATTCTGCTTTCTTTCTGCATTTTTCCGCAAACTAGTTGGAATACCAGACACTGTTTGTTCACTGAAAATTGATATAACGGATTATATAAGTAATTCATGTGACGGACGCACTTCATGTTCAGTAAATCCAAATACAGTTAAATTAGCGACCAGTGAAGTGCATAAGTGCGGTAAAATGCACCTCAGTTTAGTCTATGTATGCGGTAAGTAGCTTTTGTAGCAATATTTGTTGAATTACATTGAATTTTATTATCTTAATTAAGGTGAAATAAATAAACGCCCAAAATAATGGAAAAAATATCATTATATTTCTGTATAAACCTGAAGGGAGTATTTAAAGTAAACTAAAGACTCTTTTGTCCGTCAAACAAGCAAGTTACACATCTTCAGTCATATAAAGTCCTTCATTTTGTCGAGTAGGTCCGTGACACACAGCTCTATCATCACAAAACTGGGACGATAGTCGGAATCATCTAAATCCCCCTATAAGGTTTCACATTCCCATTAATAATATTAGAACAAGATATATAAGCGAAGAATATTGCTTTCAGCTAGATATTCAGGCTTAACTCTAATTTACAAAGATTTATATATTTACAACTTATGAACCGACACAAAGATCACCTTATTCGAAAACAATATATCATGGTTACGAACAGTAAACTCATGATGTCAAACTCAAAATATTAAAATAGAAAAATATAAAAGATGTGTCAAACGAAGAATTGGATTTTGTTGTATAGCGCTATTTAATCATGTACGATATAACTTCATTTAAAACTGTATATTTTGACGAAAATTTTATAGGAAACAGTAGTCAGGAATAAGTGAAGAGCTCAAAGTGCATTTCATCAGGAATGAGCATTCATCCCCCCTAAAAATATGAACTGAAACATATGTGTCACATATGTTGAGATAATGGATTGACCAGAAGTCGAGAGAGAAACTGCTTTCACTACAGGTCACAGCTGCTACCGCGAAAACTTTCTTCATGAATTTGGATTTCAGAGACTGGTTTACCTAGTGCAACAAGACTATGTAGCTTAACAACGTCAGACTCAATTGTATGAAGAAATAAAGTAGCAGCCGAGATGATATCAAGAAACATTATTTCATCTCCTGAGACTATAAAGTTTACAGCAGAAAGTGAAAATAATGTTATACTTCAACTTCGGACGCTAATTTCCTTAACAGGGCAAAAGGGTTGGGACAGTTCGTATATTTTAGCATCTTGTTCCAAGTCCAATACATTGGAGTTTACAGGATTTTCATCATGAGCTGACATTAGTTAGAGAACCACTGGAAAACATGGGAGTACTAGACAGCTGTTTCGTCCTAGTTTGGGACTCTTTATCAGTACGCACCCCAGGATTCGATCCCAGGACCTTCTGATTACAAGGCGAGCTCGTATACCATTAAGCCACTGGAACCCGATCCAATGAAGTTAGAATTCATGGGCCATTGGATCGGGTCCCAGTGGCTTAATGGTATACGAGCTCGCCTTGTAATCAGAAGGTCCTGCGCTCGAATCCTGGTGGGTGCTTACTGATGAAGAGTCCCAAACTAGGACGAAACAGCTGTCCAGTACTCCCAGGTTTTCCAATGGTTCCCTAACCAATATCAGCTCATGATGAAATCCTGTAACCAATCAAATTCCCCCAAACCAACACTTGAATAACAATGGAGCTTAGTTACGACATTATTTCAAAGAGCAAGGAAAAACGTGTTAAGGCAGCAAGATACATTACAAAGACACATTTTTGAGGTATGAACTAGTTTAGAGACTTATAGACAAGTATTCAAAACAAAATATAGAGAAAACAATATCAGAGATTGTTTCTACAATGAAGGTGTACATTAACTTGTCCTTCATGAATGATAGGGTCATCCATTTGGTGAAATATTTGGAGAAGGGGGAAAAAGAACCTTTTTTTGCATTTGATACACTACTTAAAAACACATACTTGAGAGTAGTAGGAAAATCGAAAAAGCCATCGATTCTAGCCGTATCTAATGGTATACCACCACACATGTGTTAGTACAAGAAAATACATGGGGAGTGTGGAAAGATGCTTGTGTGTTAGAGACGCTGAAGACTGCCCGAATGGCTCTACAGCGCTCAGAACGGTATCCCAAAGTAATCGAGGATACGTCATCTTTTCGACTGTACACAAAAATTTGTAGTGAATTAAAGCTTTAGGCATAGAAATGAAGAAGTGCCTCAGTATTGCAAACGCCTGTGCGTCGGTGGCACAGTGGTTAGGACTCTCGCCGACCATGCACATGGTCCGGGGTTCGATCCCCTGCCGGCGCACACCCGATATCTATGGTTGGCCTGCAAAATTTGGGCAACCGATATCCATGCTGAAAATTCCACACTTGTACTGAAAATACGGTGTGGAATCAAGCTGTAAATCAAAAATCAAAAAAAAAATCATATCTTTGCGTACAATATTACACAGTAATCAGTTTAAATGACTTTCATGCCTATTGTTCACCTTCCCTTCCCTCCCTCATTTATCCTGGTTGCTTATTATTATTTAGGTGTGCTGTCCCGTTATTCTTGTAGATATTTTGGAAATGAAAGTCATAAGTGAATATTGTTCTTGTTAAGGAGTGTTTCAAGCTATTTCTTGAGTTTAATTCAGATACGTTTGATTTGCAGTTGGTGACATTAAAATTCTCTTCATTTCAAAACTTTCAGATGTCTTTGTGTTTAATTTTTATTATATCTACAATGAAAACTCCATTTAATGTTGATATATACCTTGATAAGTATTATTCACTTCTTAGCGCACGGTTACTCATTGCTTGGGCTGTAATAGACTAGTTGAACTTCATGCTTATTTATTGCCAACACAGTTATGTACTTGTATGTTAACCTTATAACTGGTCCAAGTAATCATGTATGAAGAGTATTCAGCTAATGAATGCTGATGGATTCATTAAATACTGCTTCATTCATAATTGCTGCTTGCTTTTAATTTACTACGAGAAATTAATATTTACATGGTTTAATAAACATCCCTCTTTAGACGCTCAAACTATTAGATAATATAGTGAAATTGAAGTGCAAAATATTGCTATTTAAAACAATTAAAAAATACATTTCTCATATATTCGTCGTGTAAACGCTTTTTCGTCTTTCCATGATCTTTTGTACATATTGTACATTCATATTAGGTCCCTTTTACATTTGTTGCTTTGGACCAATTTTCTTTACTCAATCTTCATATAGGTATCCTTTTCTAGATTATTCCCCGCGTTGCGTAACACACTTTCTAAAAATAATTATCATGCGTTTTTAATTAGTTCAGTGAACTCTTTAATTCATGAAAGAATACTCTCAAACTTGTCTGGAAATGATTAAAGACGTTAATGTAAACAACAGTTCAGACAAAAGTACGCAAAAATTAAGTCAGGAAATTGCAGGAGTGAAATGAAAATGAAATAATATCCAGAATTCTGGGGAGGTAAAATAGCCATTACCACAATAATCAGGGAAATAAATGATTGTCAATAATTTTTCGAACCCTATTTAAGTTTCATTATTCGAGTGTTTATTCCCACAGTAATTAGAATTACTTAAGAAATGTTCAGTCTATTTAGCAACTAAAAATTTCACTTTTCTATTCGATGATTACTTAGCGTAAATCTTTGCGACCCAGGTCCCATTATTACTGTTAAGTTAGAATTTCATATAATTTATTCAGGATCTACTCATAACTTCGCACTGCGTTCTTCCGCTGAAAGAAGTTATTTTTTCAAGAGTTGATTTGTAAGGATTAGATTTGTTGTTACGAGTTTGGCCACGTGATCGAACTTGTAAAAACAAATCTAATCTATACGAAACCATCTATAGAAAATTAATCTGATGCTCGCTAGTGACTTGCTACAGGACGGCGTTTCCTGGAGTTCTAATGAGAAGTGGTAACCAGTGAGGTCCAACCAGTCAAGTGTGGAGACGGATGTCCCACCGACGACATTGGTTGGGGTCGTGCTGAATCACGAATTGGTAGAAGTTAGAATTCATGGGCCACTGAATCGGGTTCCAGTGGCTGAATAGTATACGATCTTGCCTTGTAACTGGAAGGTCCTGGGTTCGAACCCCAGTGGGTGCGTACTGCCAATGATTCCCAAAAACTAGGATGAAACAGCTGTCCAGTAGTCTCTGGTTTTCAATGGTTCTCTAACTGATATCAATCCGTAGTCAAACTCGTTAAAGTTATATTTGGTTAGACACTCTCTATTGATTTCATTTCAACCAGGATGAATCGCAACAAGCAACCCTATCCAATAAATTTATAGCCATAATTTCAAATAATCCTGTAAGCCTTAGAACTAAAATAATTTAAACTTCGTTAGGTTCCTGAAAATTCGAACACTTAAAGTGTTCAGATGTTAAATTTTCACCAATTACTGTCGCTATGATGACAATACCTTATAAAGCATTCTCTGATACTTTTTTACTCCTTACAATTTTCATAACCCAAGATGTTTCACTTAATTTTCCCCTTGACAGTACCTTCCGAATTTATTATTGCTAAAAACTACGTAGACAATTCTGAAGAAAGGTACACTGAAAAACAGAAAACAAACCAAAGACAACCTAAAGGTAATGAAAATCTATTTTTAAATGTGCAAGTAATAATACTAAACCACGACTACTACTCTCTATTATCTTAGTCTTAATTGTAATGCTGATGATTTTCTTTAGATTTCTCACCTGATATTTATATATATATACGTTTAGCCGCTGTAGCTGAAATATAGGTTAAGTTTATTTTGTAAAAATTATCCAAAATTTGGTTAGAGTTTATGTCATTATCCACCTATCACTCTCATATTTACCTATTTCTTTAAACTATTTTATATGAAATATCGTCATCCCGATCATAAAAATGTTGTTAATCTACGGTTAGAGGCATCGGCAGGAAGTCTTGGACTTAGATTTCGTGCTGTCGCCACTCACAGGTCAGCAAGTCGTATATGCAGTATAGAATGAACTCATGTAACATCTGTGAGTGTAGCACCCGGTGACACGAGTTTGAATCTTAGAAGGGATATGAGTTCCTTCAAGATTGCGGATACGCCTTGCTGACCTATGAGTACTGACAGCACAAAGCCTAAGTCCAAGTCTTCCTGCCGATAGCCTCCAACCATCTAATAACAACAATTCTGAGTGCACTGTGCTGAAGAGCCACCTAGCATGGTGGTTATATGGCAAAACCGACTGACAAAATTCAGTCTGCAGCGAACAAAGTACTAGAAGCATCAAGCCAGTGAGTGTCCTGTTCTTCAGAAATCTCTTTAAATTCATGAACGTAAAGGTATCTTCCCATCTAGTAACAAGACTTAAGCCATTCAAAAAAAAAGAATCATACATAATTATCATAAGAATGTAATAGTTTGTGATTTATATGATAGAATTCAGTAGGTGAATATATACTATCTGTATGAAATACTGCGAGAAGTTATTTCCGAATTTTTTTCAAAAGCACCTGATTTAATGAGTCTACTGCATTAAAGGTTTTATATTCTTTAGAATCGAATTCATGCCCTGTAGGTATGTGATTAGACAAATATATCATGGAAAAGACAATTCTGAGAATAGTGGTAATATCCGAAGCTCTGACTGAAAATCATGATTAAAATACATGATGTTTCGTATGAATATTTAAATGAAATTTCTAATTTAGACAACATCTGAAATATACTTCTAGCCTGGTGAAGCCCAATTTGATGTATCGATTGAGGCTAATACATCATTGATTTACGTGAATAAAAGAATTCATTACTAATTTATTTACTGAGTCGTTTTGTTCTCTATATAATCCATTTCTGTCAAAAGAAATCCAGTCACTTCGATCAGGGAACAAAATTTCTTTTTTGAATCCTACCGATATATCAGTTTATACCAATGAACCATTGCCGACTATCAGATTAGATAAAGAATCTGGTGAGTCATAGTAAAACCTGATTGCTGTTATTGTAAAATATTTATATAGAATTATGATAAACTGTGATTCTTAATTTCGTTTTTGTTTACGTTTTATTGGTAAGTAGTAGTACCGTAGATGGTAGTGAATGCTTGAAAAAACTCGCAACAAATGACAATAGAAGCAAGTAGTAACCGGCTTAGGTTAGAAGCCGAAATGCTTAAATAGTTTTAAGTAACCGACTATTATCACTATTACTCTTCAGGTAGGTCTAAACCACATGAAGAGCTTATGCAACAGCTTAGGTAGTTTGGCTTGGGTCTATGCACAAGGGCTTTTTACACACTGGCTTCCATTACTAATTCACATAAAGCGCTTGATATATATATATATATATAAGTATAGTCGCAATGATCATGAGTTTAGTATTAAGTAACTGATTAGGGTGAATTCGGAAAGTTGGGTTTCAGGATGAGATGAAGTCTAGCAAAATACCTTGTCTTTGAAATAATCCATGAGTTACTCATATTCCAATACCTGAAATAATGATGACACATACTTTGTATGGAAGTTCAGTTACTGAGATTTTAGTATCCAGGTGAATAGATACCTAACAGACTGGACTCTAGATCACATCGTTTATTTAGAGGTATCCTTATCCTCAGACTCAAATAGAAAACAGTTTTACCATCACTTTCACAATGAGAGATATCGAAACTGTGTCTCTAGAGATTCTAAATTGCTAGGTATTCATTTTGCTTGTATATTTAGACATATATAAGTACCTGGAAATATATATTTTTCTCCAAATAGTATTGAAATTATCATTTTGGCTGTAGACTTATGTCTCAAAACTCAGAAGTCTCTTCAAAGTGTGATCAGTGTGTCTTATTGCAAAATTAACTCTGGAAAATAAACAACAGCTGTCCAAAAAGTATCTGAACATTTGCGAAAGTTTTGGAAATGAAAATTTAGTTGTGCGGTAGATCTATTTTAACATCATAATGAAGGAAAGATATAATTTGCTATTAATTCATTATTTCACCCTTCAGACATCAGCAAGCCTCTGACTGACCTACGCAAGTCAGCTGACTTTCAAATGAAGTCACGATCAAGTGAAATCTTATACAAAGGTCATGACTCGTACGCTCAGCCAATGAGTCCATCCATCTTACAGTCATCTCTAATTGGTTTCGGTGGTAGTTTACTAATTCTTCTGTGCATTGTGTTTATAGTTTTACTTATATGTCATAAAAGTGGTACTAGAAATGACTATAACAAATCTCGACAGAATCATGAACCCAACAAATATTCTACTGCATGTCTGGCTCATTCAAATAATGACTGGTCAACAATGAATTCAACAGCATTACATCCTGCATCCTTATTGAATGATATTAAACTTCTGTGTCCTGGGTGTAAGCTGCCAACAAATCCCTGTTCTCTTATGACTGATATACACAAATATCGTAACGAAAACTGTCAGTGCAGAGCAAATATACAAGGCAGCATTAACATGTGCAGTGTACATCATGAAAGCAATAATCATTCTGATAGGGAGCATTGTTATCCAACCCAGTCAAGTTTGATAGGACATCAAAACACATCAGAACTGTATGCTATGAAAATAATGCCATCCACCTCTAATCAAACACCAGTAAGTTCGCGTTCCATCCAAATTAGTTTATGCGGTTTATCTGCATTTTTAAACATGTCTATTCTGTTGCCAGACTATAAAAAAAATAAAGAATGTTATTAAATATATAAATATATAAATTTAACGGTACTATTTTTTATAAAATTATATTTGTAAAATCTCAGCGAAACTGAAATGATTAATTCCTATGTTTCGTTCGGCAATCTGGTCCGAACTTCTTCAGGGAAATTAATCGAAATTAACACAACAGAGGTTTATATGTGAAAGGAACAACTCTTGTTTTTAATGTGTGTTGTTTTTTCTGAGCTGAATAGTTTGGTTAGTTTGCGCTGGATACAGTGACTTTACAAATAAACTGTTCAGCCCGGAAAACATAATGACAATAAAAACATCCAGTTAAGCTACAAATCTTCACTACTATTTCCAACAGTACCGTGTTCACTTTTCATTCAGCAAACAAAACTAATTTGCGTTGCTCATTACTTTTCAAGTTGTATGTGAAAAGCCTGATGCCATTTAAATATCCTAAGCAAGATAAGACTTAAAATGATACATTATGCAAAACCGGTTGTGTTTATTGGCTGATAACCACAGAAAACTCTCTGGTCATATTGCAATACTCAGTATTACTGTGATTTTCATGTCTAAAATATGCAAAGTTGCTGATTGTGATTCATTTGAGATTTCGAAGAAGATATAATTTACTTTCTGGCATTATAAACCCTGAGTCTTTTAAATATCTCACAAAGTTCAACTCAGATTTAAGGTTAATAATGACCTTAAAATACTTGCAAACATGATGATATTGATTAACTGTATTTTGATATAGAAATTATAGAAATAATTTATTTGCTTCATGATTGGTTAAGCATTAGAATCAAAGGCTGTCATTTTCTCACCAGGTGAAAGTTGGCTCAGTGCTTTTCCACGCAGGCAGTTGTTAGTATTCTTATTTACAGATGTATTAAATGCCTATCATCCCAAACATCACAAAGTATTTAGCTACATCAATGAGCTGCGACAACCCGTTTAGGAAAGAGGGCTGTTGTTTACATCACTGATTGAACTTGATTACATTGTCAGAGGTTTGAGATACCATGTTCACTTATCATGGCTTGTTAACAAGGGAACAACAATCTAGTTTCTCAGTTTGACATTTGACACTGTGATGAACATGATCCCCGTTGATAATTCCTAAATGAAATGCACTAATACATTTTTTTCAAACCATCAGGAAACATTTTGTGGTATCCGAATATCTCTTAAGTAGTTTCTGGTTTATTTAGTGAAATTAACAAAGACATGTTCCATATACTGGTAATGTTTTTCCAACGTTCGCTTGCATATATGAGAAACTGCAAATTATAAACCATTTTAAAATAGACACGCTTAGAAAATAATGATTAGGAAAGTTATTGGACGATGAAAACAATAAAAAAAATAGAATGCATCTGATCTAGCTTTTTTGAAAAGCGATTAAAGCATACCCTTCATTTAATGAAGCCTAACGAAGCATTATTAGCTGCATTTTATTATGTGACTGACAAAATCGTCAAATTCTTAACCCAAACTTTACATACTTTACACAAACTTCACTTTAATGTCGGTGATAACCATTTGTTAGGTAGTGTTATGTAGAAAACTGAGAGTACTGAAAATTTGACTGGAGTTTTAGGCTCACTTCAATGTTTTCAGTTCAGCGAAATTAGTGTCTTTTTTCTTTAGGCTATTCCGCATTATATATGATTATGCATAACAAGTTACTTACCTTGGTATGGTGATGCCGCTTAAATGAAAGAGAAATAAACAGAAATAAAACTAAATGTTTGGCAGTTTGCATATTTATTCATCAATTCTTGATCTACACTTACTGATGCTTATCTCTTGTCTCTGTTCAGGAGTACAACATCCTGTTTCTGTGCATAGTTAATACTATTTATAAATTATTTGGAATCTGACCTTGACGTGCTTTTCGATTGTTACCCTATATTTCCTCACTTACATAAAACTCTTATTTCTCTAGAGCTTCTTGCCAGGAAGTTGTGGAATTTATTTTAATTATTTGACTTTCGAACACTGAATCTGTGAATATAATCTTGTTGACTGGTAATACCTATAACTATCTGTTTGGTATATTGTGACTGTTTAACACTATCTTATATCTTTAATTGTATCTATCGTTGGGCTTACTCAATTTAACCCAAGTCATTGAGTCTGTGGTTTTGATACTATATTTCTCAACCGTTTTTTGGCAAGTGGTACTACTACTACGGTTTTTTTTACTGTTGTTGTCGCTACCCTTCCCGTTGTAATTTTTTCCTTTTGCTGGTGTTGTCCTGATTGCTTCATTCCTTGTCTTCCTGATGTTAAGGGGAGCAATCTAAAAAGTCGCTTCTCTGTAAACTATACATTAACAACCCCCTTCTCAGGCTTGAAGCTAGCAACCCCACCATGTAAACAAAGCTGCCACAGAAACTTCAGTACGATGAGTCTCCTTGCGAGAAAAGAAAAAGTCTATGTGTGGATATGGAACGTCTGCACCATGTATGACTGGCAAAGCTGTCCAGATTGCAAATGAAAGATATCGTATTCAAATACTGGTAATATGCAAAAGCAGATGGAATGGGAGTGGACTCACCAAACTGTCAATGGGAGAGTCGATGATCTACTTCAGCCACCCAGAAGGCAGCCACATGCACACCAAGGGTGTGGCTATCATGATGTCACCAATGGCAACGAAGGCCCTGATGCAATGGAAGGCGATCTCGCCCAGGATAATGACCGCCAGATTCAAGGAAAGGGCCAGTTATACAATGCTATGCACCCACAAACAACGCAGACCCCGAAAAGAAAGAAGAGTTCAACGGACAACTAAAGGCGACAATAAACAATACTCCAGTCGGTGACATTAAAGTACTAATGGGAGATGTGAACGCCAAACTGGGACCAGAAAACATAGGAAGAGAACTCAGCACGGGTAGAGAAGCTCTCGGAGAAATGAATGAAAATGGAGAACTCTTCGCTGACTTCTACGCCTTCAATGAACTAGTGATTGGCGGCAGCGTATACAAGCACAAAGATATCCACAAGGCTACATGGGTGTCACCAGACGGGCGAACCAAAAGCCAAATTGACTTCATCCCAATCTCAGGAAAGTAGAGACGCAGCTTATTGGACACAAAAGTAAGAAGAGGAGTAGACGTTGCCTCAGACCACTATCTCGTGAAAGGAACACTCCAAATCAAACTAAAATATTTCGATGAAACAGGAGCTGCAGACAGACCACAAGCCAAGTCCAATACTCAAAAACTGAAGAATCAGGCCACAAAGGACTTCACTGCAAACATAAGGGAAAAGAACTGGCAGGACATTATGCTCCTGTTCATACCAAGCACAATACTAAGCTGCATCATCCTGGAGAGAATCAAACACGCCATGGATAAAAATCTTCGACCAGAACAGGATGGATACAGGAGAAACAAGTCATGAATCGTTCGAATCGCAACATTATGGGTCGTCATTGAACAGAGCTTGGAGTGGCAGTTACCTCTTTGTTTCAACTTCATTGACTTTGGAAAATCTTTTAATAGTGCGGCGTCGATCAAGAGCTTATTTGGCAACTACTTCGCTACTATGGGGTGCCGCAAATAATTATGCATCTCATTCAACAGTTGTACGACAATGCTGCGTGCCAAGTAATCCACAATAGGAAACTCACGAAACCCTTTGAAGTGAAGACGGGAGTAAGACAAGGAAGGCTGCCTACTATCTCCAAGGATCTTCCTGATTGCGGTAGACTGGATAATGCGACAGACACCTGGCAACTAGGAGACAGAAGTAAAATTGACCCACAAAAAGTCTCGGAGGCTCTGGACTTCGCCGATGATATATGTCTGGTTTCCCAAAAACTGGAAGATGTGCAGTTGAAAAGCAACAAGTTGGCAGAAGAAGCATCAAAGATAGGACTTTTTTCAGGTGAACACAGAGAAAGCAGAGGCGGTGAAGATTCCTGGCCAACAGCAACAACAACAGACAACAATCAGCATAAATGGGAGCAATCTGAAGGAAGCAACCCCATTAACCTATCTGGGAAGCATCGTTTCAACTACAGGCGGAACTGACTAGGATGACAAAGCAAGGATCGGGAAAGCAAGGCAAGCTTTCATTTCTCTCGAATCTGTGTGGAGGTGGACAGCACTCAGCATGAAAAACAAGATGCAGTTTTTCAACTTCAATGTATAGTCAGTGCTATGAATTGGATCAGAGACTTGGCGCGTCACGAAGGGCAGTTCGAACAAACTACAGACTTTCATTAATAGCTTTCTTCACTCAGTGCTCAAGATCAGATGGTCAGAAAAGATGGGCAATAGGGATCTCTTGGAGTGAACCAACCAGGAACCGATTGTGCAAGCCTTATGTTTCTCTAGGAATGAAAAAAACAGTAATAATAATGAATTATTTAGAGAATTTGTGTGCAGTTTTATTTCGCATATCGGATTCTACTGTTGGCCACAAAACAGGAAGTTGTACAGGTGAAAAGATTAAGTAACGAAACACGTAAGTTTTTTAAATTAATTCCTATGAATAAATCAGTTATGTAGGATATGTTACAGAGCACGAAGCATATTATAGTTTAAGGATGTGAAGACTGATACCCATGTTAACTTTTAGAAACACAGAAAGACATGAATAGACATGTTCTACGCTAAGCTGATACTCATAGATTTCCTTAATCAAGTCGTTTAAACTACTTTCTGCGTAACTTGTTAACTCAGCGCTTAAAAATTTCTGTGAACAGTCTTCTTGAACTGATTTACTTATCTCACGGACATTTTGTAAGAAGTCGCATTATTCACCATTAGCACTAATTCTCACTACACTTCTACTAATACTGTCAATATATCCTATGGAATATTGTGCATAAAATTAATTAATATCACTATTTTTATAACTTTCACTCAGTGTCTAATGTTTTATCTTTTCAGTGCATATTTAGTGTCTGTCCCATGCAGATGCAGAACGAATTGAACATGCCTTTAAGTACACACACAGTTCACAGTGTAAACTCAGGCATCACAATGAATGAATATCTCCCGACTGTTACTTCCTCTGTTAATAATATTCATTTCGATTACCACACACAATCTTCACTAGATCAAAATATTAGGCCCGAACTAACTCAAAACCTAATAGAAAATATTTACACAAACAACAAAGAATATTCTACCAACACTCTGAAAGCACCACCATCTGTTAATAGTGGTTCAACCGGACGTGGTTGTGATGGCGGCAGTGGAATTAGTGAGCGTAGCGAAGAAGTTACCCCAAATTTAAATCTTTATACTGGATTTGCCAGGTTTGAAAGAAAAAATGATTACGACAACGTAAATGAACGACGAATATTTGATTATAAGGATAATGAGATCAATAAGTGTCATTATGAAATGCATTCCTGTAAATTGAGAGTACATAATGAATACGGTCGAAGTCTTTTAAGGTCTTTATCAAATAGATTTTCTAACCAAGATGACTGCCAACACAACAACACTATTGATAATAGTAATAACTTAAAGTTACCCGAAAAGTATCACCACTATGCTGAAGGTAAATCAGTGTTTGAATCAAACATGCAGCTTAACGATTCATCAGAACAATCCTCAAAGTCACTTCATCAAATCTGTTCAAATCACACTGAGGGTGATTATACGATGCTTACAAAAGGTGAAAACGTATATCATCCATGCCTTACAAGAAAGATTAGTTATAGAGAGCAATCATGTAATAAACAGGGAAAACCTCAACAAACTACACACTTTTCAGAAAGTATAACTGACTCGGTTATTCAGCAGTGTGAATCTGCATGTAAAGAGTCTACAGAAAGTCTCAGTGTTCCACTCATCGATCCACCTCATCACTTTCGTACACCAGCAAATAAACTGCGACCAAGTAATGATGAATGTACTTCAAGTAGGATATCATCAACTCCTACACACAAAACACCAGATGTTATTTTAAAAAGCGTTGGTTATAATGATGATAATTTGGAACAACCCCCACCAAAAATGCCACCACTTCGTGGAATATTAACAAACATATCGACAGTAACCGGAAGGAATACAGCATTCTAGTTCTAATTCATTTTTGGTTGAGTAACAGTAATGATATGTCGAAACATTATGTAATAAATATTATGAGACATAGCAACCACTTTTGCTATTAACCTCCAGTTTCTGAAAATTGTATCATTTACACACTTTTATCTCAACAAACTGCTTACACTCTAATGGAATTCAATATTCCACACTGTATATGTGAAATGTTTTCGAGCATTGCATTTTTTTTAATTTCCAAACTAATCTGTCATTTTTGCTTTATTCTTCTGTAATTAAGGTTTACTTTCTGGAAATAACATTTGTATATTTTGAAAAATCGATGAGTTATTGTGTTGGAACAAAAAGTTATTCCTCTAATTTTTTCTCTGTTCATTCTACAGTCTACGGGAATATGTAATGACTATTGATATAAAAAGTTATATAGTGAAATTACATACCACCATCGTCAACAGTATGTAACAGGATTTCATTTGTCTGCAAAGTATGTTTAATTTCTAAGATATTAAACATACTCTGAAAATTAGCGTTAAAAACGAAATTGCTCCAGGAGTAAGTGTTGAGGTTAAGAATATGAAGGACTACCAGATTTCTGTATCGATAACAATGATACTAGTGGTTTTTTCAATGACATTAAAATCCGATGTCTACTTGACTGGATTATTTTAATGCTTGAAGAGTTTCAACCGAAGCTGCAGAACTATTAGTATCAATCATGGAGAGTCTACGCAAAATATGGTGTTGGGCCTTTATTTCAACGAGAGGTGGTTACATTAGTAATACATTTGGTCACTAAGATCACTCAAATATAGCGTATTTTGGTGTTCGTGTTTATCAATCTACAAAGTCACAAACTCATACTGGAAACTTAAGAAAGCAAAATGTCTAACCGAAAATTTTTGAAAAAAAAACAAAACTAATCCATACGAAACCATCTATAGAAAATTAATCTGATGCTCGCTAGTGACTTGCTACAGGACGGCGTTTCCTGGAGTTCTAATGAGAAGTGGTAACCAGTGAGGTCCAACCAGTCAAGTGTGGAGACGGATGTCCCACCGACGACATTGGTTGGGGTCGTGCTGAATCACGAATTGGTAGAAGTTAGAATTCATGGGCCACTGAATCGGGTTCCAGTGGCTGAATAGTATACGATCTTGCCTTGTAACTGGAAGGTCCTGGGTTCGAACCCCAGTGGGTGCGTACTGCCAATGATTCCCAAAAACTAGGATGAAGCAGCTGTCCAGTAGTCTCTGGTTTTCAATGGTTCTCTAACTGATATCAATCCATGATCAGCTCGTGAAAAACAAAACTAACCCTTTCTAAACCAACTACAGAAAGCTTTTTATTACCTGTACCTTTCATTCACATAAAACTGATATACGTCACTAGTTAAATCTAAAATTCATGCACATGAAATGTTTATATGCTTCAGTTAGTTCTATGACGTTCACTAGCTGTGTCTGGTTCTCATGTAGTTTTTGAACGTTTTCCTTTTAATACCATATAATTGAAAAAACAGCTTTTCATAAAATAAGCATCAAGCATTTACAAAATGTGAATTTCTTTGTTGAATTCTCTGCAGTAAAAAATTTATCCTAGCGTGTCTGTCATGGTTGAGTTTAAAACGAAAATTGTAGCCCAAAGTATAAATAAAATTCTTTTCCGAAGACTTTTCTGACGATGGTCTCCAGTTTCATTTCAAGATAGTTGGTGGAATTTAAGGCGCCATTAACGACCTGTAACTTAAGTTTTGTGATACATTAAGAAAATTACCCGAAACATCGAAAGAAGAATGGTTATGGGGACTCAGTATTCTAGTTAATAAAGTCGAAAGTTGCCAATCGATAGATGCTAAACTCAAAGCTCAGGAAACATCTAGTTTTCATGACTCCGATTCTTTCATCTTAATACTTCTCTGAAGGCTAAGAAATACATTCTGGATTGATCAGCTGGTTCGACCTTTACACCTGATATGATTTCATTTTTTAATTCTTTATTAATATTACTAAAACTGAAAAGTAAATATATGGTGATACCGTTTGATATGCGCTTTGGCAGTACTCAAAATGGTTAATCAAAATAGTTCTTACAGCTGTCTGACCTTTTTTATTACATACATTTATTCTCCTTAATGAATTTGAACAAAGCAGGAACTACAGTTTTTGCAGAATAAACTGGTACCGTCTTTTATTTCATTGCCTTCTCGTCAACTGCTTACAGGCCAAAGACATTATTAAATATATCTGCAAAACAATTTAACACACTTGCACAGAGTTCATTTTAAACAAAAATCAATCGATCAGTATATTCATAGTAATATTGTATATATGTATATATATGATAAGATTAAGGACACCAAAATAATAACTAAGATGAATCACAAAATAAAATATATCTACTTAGACAAATTATTGTTCAAATAAGATGGTAAACTCATATGTTGAATAGAAATTTCATGTCTGTATTCATGTTTTCATCAATGAACCTAGAGTGGTACATATCATCATAAAGGTATATAATATAATCAGAGAAACTCTGATCGAAATAATAATGGACAAGTCATGAATTTTAATGGTCTGTGTAAATGTAGTACTATGAAGAAAGAAAACGTCTGGATGCATATACTTGTCTGAACTATTTACTAGCCAGAATTAAGGATCTTGAATACATTGTATAAAACACTATAGTCAGAAATTTCAAATGACTTGTAATTAGTAAAACAGGTTTTGCATTCTTGGGATTCTCAATGTGAAAAACACATTCACACAGATGCCATTTACGGTTCATACCATTGTTGTTGTAGTTATAATCCGAATGAGATCATTTTAGCATACACTGTACTTTGAAATGATTACCTACATGTATGGCTTTTTAATTTAAAGATCATTTTGAACAATAATGCGAAACATTCAGGCGCTTTGTGAAATAAGTTATATCCATTGCGTCTTTAATTTTAAATGGTTGACATGGTCAGTATTTATCTAGAATGTGATCTAAAGGTCAGATTATCCCGTGGGTTGTTTACTAACCAGAATATGAAATATAACCTAGTTTCGAAATATTTGTTCTTAAAGTTCATACCTTCTATCATCACCAAATACGTGCAACAGAAGTTACGCAAGATTCTATTTTGGATGAAATTTTAATTTTAAAAAGTCACAGAGTGTTATACAGTATTAATTCCTGATGACGTTTCGAGCGCTATTTATTGCCCATAATCATATCAAGGTTCTCAAACGAATCTGTTACTTCGTTAAAATAAAGGTTTACAAATTGAAAAGATATATAGTAAAAATTATTAAAAGATAGCATGAAAAAGCAAATTCTGATACGATATGAGTGTTATAAATAATTAAAAATACTTCCTTCCAGATACGAAATGAAAACAAGCAATAAAGGTTAGTAAAGCAGTAGTCAATGAATTCATCAAATTTCAGTAGAACTCGTCAGCTGAATACTCTACATACACGGATATATATACTTTTGAAATTATATTGGGAGATATAAGATGGATAAGCAAATAAACTACATTGAATTGCTCATGGAGAAATAGAAGTGAGAATGTTTTCCAGGTCATTTTCAATTAGATAAGGGGAGAGGAAGTATGAGAGATCAAAATTAAGATAAAATGCATTACGCTTCAATTACATCACTTAGATAAACAATTAGTCATTAGAGAATTTAACAAGAATTGCAAATAGAGTAATATCAGTAGTAATAGTTATAATAACAATAACAATAATGTTGAAGTGAATTAAGATAATGCTAATGATAAAGGATAGTTTTAAATGAATCAAGAATAATAAAAATAAGAGGTAGAATAATAAGTAAAACGTATTACCATGGTAGATTCAGAGTCACGACCATCTCCCTTTGTACACAGAGACCTGGTTTATAAACGCGAATTGCACAAGCCTCTACAATTGCAAGCATATTCTTGTTTCTTCGTCTGCTGACAATGGTGAATGACATGACAGCGTCGATATCATGTCCATAGTCCAAAAGATGTTTTGTCATTGACGTTTTTGACACTTTGTACTCAGCTGTTTTCAACCATTTTGGCAAATGCTCCATCATGCGATTAGACAATCGCCTTTCTGTACGACCTATGTATTTGCTTCCACAAACACACTCAAATTGATATACGCGGTTTGAAGTGTCCAGGATTGGCGACTGGTCTTTCCCAGATTGTTGAAGCACTCGCTTAGTGATGTTAAGGAAAACAAGTTTTGCAGCATAATAAGTTCTCTTGATAGCTTCATCGAGTCTCCATTTGACTACTTCCTGTGCATCATCTCCTTTGAATGGTAAACTGATATAGACAGATTTCTTTGGAACTGCTTGGATAGTTTTGCAGGGGCTAATTCCTTTAGAGTATTTATTAATGAACTTCTCAGGATATCCATTCTTAGATAAGATATCCTTCAGGGATTTTATTTCATGCTCAAGAGTGCCGTCAGAACAAATTTTCCGTGCTCTATTGAACAGTGTTTTGACTAAGTTCTTTTTATACTGGATTGGAACAAATCTCTTGACTTTCTAAATATAGATCTTTCGATTGTGCCACCAGTCATTTTCCCTAGTAAAACGTCTAGGAATTTAATAGTGTCGCTTTCCTCGTGTTCTATACTGTCTGCGCCTCACTTTATCTATGAGCAATTCAATGTAGTTTATTTACTTATCCGTCTTATATCTCCCAATATAATTTCAAATAATATATATCAGTGTATGTAGAGTATTCAGCTGACGAGTTCCACTGAAATTTGATGAGTTCATTGAATACTGCTTTACTAACCTTTATTGCTTTGTATCAATTTATATAATTCTATGAGTTTTAGGACGGGTCTGTTTAGTCATTTTGGGGGAAATAATATGTTTTTTCATGTTAACACTAAGTACTTTTTTAGAATGTTAGAATATGAAACGAAAACATTTTAACAATATTTTTTCTTCTATCATTCGTCTGTTAATATCATCTTCTTTATCTCCGTCATTTGCTTTAACTTCCTTTTCATTGGTTGGGTGTAGACTCGATGAACCAGGGTTAAGTAATCAACCACTCTCCATCTATCTATATTACCTTTTATAATTTGAACTCTTTCCTATCCTAATGTGTGGTTGTTTGTTAATGCATGCAGTGCAACGTAGCCCTGAGCTTTTCTCTAAATTTCTTATCTTCGGAGAGTCAATTATTCTAACCTTAGCCACTAAATTCTTATGTTCTGATAAATCTGACTACCTACAATCTACTAGTTTGACCTATGTATTTGGCCTCACAGCCATTGCAAGTTGTTTTTTTTAAATTACATTATTTTGTCTAATCGGGTCAACCTACAGGGTCCTTGAGGCTACAGAGCTTGTTCTGAGTGAGTTTGTATATTCGAATGACTCCCTTATTCCTGCTTTATTGAGAATCTAACGTAGGGCCTCAGATAAACCCTTCTT